GAGGACCCCGGGGGCGCAGGGACATCGAGGTGCCTTCATAAACCACGAAAATTAGGTTAGGTTAGGACCCCGGGTGGCTCTGAGCGGCGGCAGCATTGCTGAAGATTTTTCACTGCACTTGATTTTCAATTTAATATACCTTCAGCCGAGCGTACATTGTGTAGGAAGTGGGTCTGATAGATGTGCTGTCAGACAAGTCACTCGAGGAGATGGGGGTCACATGACAGTGGGTAGGGGGTATGTACGGGAAGGTTCACATGACAGTGGGTAGGGGTATGTACGGGAAGGTTCACATGACAGTGGGTAGGTGGTAGTGGGTATGTACGGGAAGGTTCACATGACAGTGGGTAGGTGGTAGTGGGTATGTACGGGAAGGTTCACATGACAGTGGGTAGGTGGTAGTGGGTATGTACGGGAAGGTTCACATGACAGTGGGTAGGGGGTAGTGGGTATGTACGGGAAGGTTCACATGACAGTGGGTAGGTGGTAGTGGGTATGTACGGGAAGGTTCACATGACAGTGGGTAAGGGGTACAGGGAGGTTCACATGACAGTGGGTAGGGGGTACAGGGAGGTTCACATGACAATGGGTAGGGGGTACAGGGAGGTTCACATGACAATGGGTAGGGGGTACAGGGAGGTTCACATGACAGTGGGTAGGGGGTACAGGGAGGTTCACATGACAATGGGTAGGGGGTACAGGGAGGTTCACATGACAATGGGTAGGGGGTACAGGGAGGTTCACATGACAATGGGTAGGGGGTACAGGGAGGTTCACATGACAATGGGTAAGGGGTACAGGGAGGTTCACATGACAGTGGGTAGGGGGTACAGGGAGGTTCACATGACAATGGGTAGGGGGGTACAGGGCATGTACGGGGAGAGGGATAAGAGGTTCACATGACAGTGGGTAAAGGTGAGAGAGAGAGAGAGAATATAGCAGCAAGGTAGAGAACTTCCAGAAATGAGAGAAAGGGAGGGAAGGAAAGATAAAAAGAAAGGGAAAAGAAAAGAAGAATTAATCTATTCTTCGGCTGCCAAACTAACTCTCCTTTGTCCTTGTTATATCCTATTACTTGGCTAATTCCCGACGCCCCCTTCCCTCTCACTCGCCCTTCTCTCCCCTCTCTCCCTGCTCACAGCCTCTCCTCATCCCCTCTCTACTTCTCCCCTCACTTTCCCTCGCTCTATTATACCATCTACCCCTCACTCCATCAGTTCGCTGGAAAACTCCTGTGTTCGACTCTGGAAACCAATATGTCCAGGCCCCTCGCTTGGTTAGTGGAGTATAACCCTTCACCCTTCAAGTAGAGTATAACCCCTGACCCTTCAAGTAGAGTATAACCCCTGACCCTTCAAGTAGAGTATAACCCCTGACCCTTCAAGTAGAGTATAACCCCTGACCCTTCAAGTAGAGTATAACCCCTGACCCTTCAAGTAGAGTATAACCCCTGACCCTTCTAGTGGAATATAACCCCTGACCCTTCAAGTAGAGTATAGCCCCTGACCCTTCAAGTAGAGTATAACCCCCTGACCCTTCAAGTAGAGTATAACCCTTCACCCCTCAAGTAGAGTATAACCCCTGACCCTTCAAGTAGAGTATAACCCTTCACCCTTCAAGTAGAGTATAACCCCTGACCCTTCAAGTAGAGTATAACCCCTGACCCTTCAAGTAGAGTATAACCCCTGACCCTTCAAGTAGAGTATAACCCCTGACCCTTCAAGTAGAGTATAGCCCTTTACTTTTGAAGTAGAGTATAACCTTTCACCCTTCTAGTGGAATATAACCCCTGACCCTTCTAGTGGAATATAACCCCTGACCCTTCTAACCGAGTATAAGCCTTGAACTTTCTATGGGAGTATATATCCTTTAACCCTTCTCGCGGTACATAAACAAAGTTTATTATGTCACTCTACATCCAAACAGTAGAGTGATATACACTCTACTATGAATATACTTTATAGAGTGACACAATAAATATATTTTCGTTGTATGCCACTTTACAACGAAAGTATATTATTTGTGTTATTATACTACAACCATAGAAATTATCGTTTATAACACTGATTTAATAACAATATACATCATTCTTTCGTTACAGAATTATCTACATTTTATGCAATTCTTTCTCAGACGGACACTAATTTCTCTCAGGAAACGGATGATTATTTTCCTTGGCAGAACTAATTATATAATTTGCTTTCACTTTCGAATCGAAGAACGTCAAATAATATAGCTTCATATCCTTATGTTTACGATTGTAACTATGAAAATAAATGCATATAATACACATTGAAAATACACTTTGGATCGCGTGTAAAGCTTTCTTTGACCCTCAAGTCTCAAGCTAAAGATGGTTATAGATGAGGTCAGGTCAAAGATGACGAGTATTCAAGAAAGGTCAGGTCACTGAGGTGAGGAGTCATCAGGGAAGGTCAGGTCACTGAGGTGAGGAGTCATCAGGGAAGGTCAGGTCACTGAGGTGAGGAGTCATCAGGGAAGGTCAGGTCAGACTCTAAGTTAAACAGAGTTGTGGAAGCAACAATCATAAAAAGGGAATGAAAGGAAACTATCTGGAGAAACACCAAGCCATTACGACTATATAGCACTTAGAAGGGGTCAGGGGTAAGGATTTGGGATGGGACGGGGGGAAGGAATGGTGCCCAACCACTTGGACGATCGGGGATTGAACGCCGACTTGCATGATGCGAAACCGTCGCTCTACCGTCCAGTCCAAGCGGTTGGGCACAACCAGAGAGAGAACTCAGTAGAATAAATTCAATAAAACCTGTGTACTTGCAAACACATGAATCAAATATAATTATATCTTGGAATAAAATCCCTTCACGCTCCTCCACTCAAAAAATAAAAAAATAGATATACACAACAAATCAGAGAAGCACTGCTCGTGACAGCAAGTTGAACCCTTCTTTCATGTTCTTTGAGTCTGTCAGAGGGCGAGCCGCGAGATTCACCAGACTATTGGAGAGAGCAAAAGGAACAAGAAATGCCGACAATACCAGAAATATCAGCAGCCGGAGGGAAAGTGCGCATATGATTGCTGCGATGCACATTAGTTTGAAGAAATGCAAGACTGATATCATTTGTTGAGGAATGCGTCGGCAGTGTGCTGGTGTTAACATGCCAGTAAGATGTGAGGTTGAGCTGCTGGAAATGTGTTTTCTGTGACACCATCACCAGCTCCACCATCACCAGCTCCTCCATCACCATCATTCTATCCCCCAACCTCACCATCCTTAAGGCACTAGTTCAAACAAGATGTATATGCATCTCCAAGTCTATATAACTGTTATATGCAGTCACAATAACGTGGCTGAAGATTATAGAACATTATACATACATACGGACATATGTATGTATATGCGGACATGAGTATAGTAACTGAATGATCCCGTGAGGTAGAACATAAATTAATCCGTCAAACGAATCTGAGCCCAACCACACCCTCCCAAACACCACCACACCCTTATCAACACCACTTCGGCATCCTCACTCCAGCCACACTACTTGCCAATGACGATCTGTTATCTCACACACACACACACACACACACACACACACACACACACACACACACACACATCGCAGCATACCAGCATCTCAGTCTACACAACGCCATTATTCATCACCCCAATCGAATCTTAATCCCTTCCCACATTCTCAGGCCAACCACACCATACCAAACCCAATCCCACCATTCTCAGCTTCCCCGGGCTATATCACCGATCCAATCGCTCCACAACAACACCGGTAACTAGCCCCATCACCCCGCACTCTCCCACCATATTAATACCACAGATTATACACCTATCCATCCGTTTGAGCAGCTCAATGACTCCGCCAACCTCGCTATTCTTGGCAGCCTCGACGCTCCATCTGTGATGGTGCAAGTGTTTGAGCACCGTTACTTCTCACTATCCTCGTGTTATCCCTCTCTCTCTGGCCTCATGTGCTGGGGCCAGCATGAAAACTTACCAATCAGCTGTTGTTATTGTTATAAACAGCCTTTCCTTTGCTACGGAGCTCATTAACTGTTTAATAATTGTAAACAAAGCCGCCAAAGATTGAGAAAAGATGTACAGGTTCGCAAGTGCTTGCGTAACTGCTTCGTGAATTTGGTCCCTGGCTCTTAATGTTCTCGTATCCTGCCTATGGCTTGTTAGTTCCAGGAATCTGCCCTCGTATCCAGGGCCCGTATAGTCAAACTGGCTAAGCATTTACTTTTGATAATAACTATATGTTATCACCTAACTCACTGCTCCTCATTCTAATGCCCGCCTCCCCTCATTCTAATGCCAGCCTCCCCTCATTCTAATGCCAGCCTCCCCTCATTCTAATGCCAGCCTCCCCTCATTCTAATGCCCGCCTCCCCTCATTCTAATGCCAGCCTCCCCTCATTCTAATGCCCACCTCCCCTCATTCTAATGCTCGCCTCCCCTCATTCTAATGCTCGCCTCCCCTCATTCTAATGCTCGCCTCCCCTCATTCTAATGCTCGCCTCCCCTCATTCTAATGCTCGCCTCCCCTCATTCTAATGCCCGCCTCCCCTCATTCTAATGCTCGCCTCCCCTCATTCTAATGCCCGCCTCCCTTCATTCTAATGCCAGCCTCCCCTCATTCTAATGCTCGCCTCCCCTCATTCTAATGCCAGCCTCCCCTCATTCTAATGCCAGTCTCCCCTCATTCTAATGCCAGCCTCCCCTCATTCTAATGCCAGTCTCCCCTCATTCTAATGCCAGCCTCCCCTCATTCTAATGCCCGCCTCCCCTCATTCTAATGCCCGCCTCCCCTCATTCTAATGCTCGCCTCCCCTCATTCTAATGGCCGCCTCCCCTCATTCTAATGCCAGCCTCCCCTCATTCTAATGCCAGTCTCCCCTCATTCTAATGCCAGCCTCCCCTCATTCTAATGCTCGCCTCCCCTCATTCTAATGCCCGCCTCCCCTCATTCTAATGAAGTGGTGCTCCTCCTGCCCGCAGATCAAGGATGGGGGCAGCGCCTACATTGACGAGAGGAAAGAGTTGACGGTGCAGATTGAGTGGGTTGAGTCCCTGCTGCTCTTCCAGGCCACCTACCACAAGTACGATGATGTCACTCGGATGCACAACTACCAGATGAGGTGAGACACGCGAGTGTGTGCGTGTGCGTGTGTGTGTATGTGTATTCACCTAGTTGTGCTTGAGGGGGGTCAAGCTTTGCTCTTTCGGCCCGCCTCTCAACTGCTACTAACTACTGTTCTCTCCCCACACACACACACACTCTAGAAGCAGCTCCGTAACAGCTGTCTAACTTCCAGGTACCTATTTACTGCTAGGTAACAGGGGTATTCAGGGTGAAAGAAGCTTTGCCCATTTGTTTCTGCCTGGTCCGGGAATCGAACCCGGACCACAGAATTACGAGTCCTGCGCTATCCACACAGCTACCAGACCCCTTGTGTGTGTGTGTGTGTGTGTAAGGTGAGGATATTCATACGTGTGTGTGTGTACTCATGGGTGAGTGAGAGATGCGCTCATCAAGATTGTTAAGCCCTTCCTACACTACTCATGCCTCTCTGCTCCGGCACAAGATTTCTTTAGATTTCTTATTTATAATTTTTTTTCAGTAAGGATTCCATGAGGCTGCATGCTTAAAGACACTTATCACGTAGGTTGTAAAAGCGTCATGAAGACTTCCTTGTCTATATTTGCGAAGCCTATCTGCAGATGTGACAGTTTTACACAGACTGCAGATGATTTGCTTACAAGTTATATCTTTGCCAGGCTTCTTCTTGAGATTATCTTGAGATGATTTCGGGGCTTTAGTGTCCCCGCGGCCCGGTCCTCGACCAGGCCTTCACCCCCAGGAAGTAGCCCGTGACAGCTGACTAACATCCAGGTACCTATTTTACTGCTAGGTAACAGTGGCATAGGGTGAAAGAAACTCTGCCCATTGTTTTTCGCAGGCGCCCGGGATCGAACCCGGGACCACTGGATCACAAGTCCAGTGTGCTGTCCGCTCGGCCGACCGGCTCCCATGGTTGAGGTAATGACAATTACAAAATCTCTTTTTCCTTATCTCTTAACAAATAGTTGTCTCTTCCTTTACTATAATTCTCCTGAGGTCCTAACATAACTTTGCACTTTTCCGATTTGAAGTTCAATAGCCATTTCAGAAATGACAAAGTTCAGAAGTGACCAAACATGTCTTGGTCATTTGGAAGTCTGGCACAGTTTTTGTATTCTTGAATCTTCTAATTAGTTTAATTATTGACTCAAATAATTGCTTCCACCAACTATGATAATCAGGAGATAGTTCAAAAGAAAAGCTTTATAACCCCTTTTCGTGTACATATTAACAATTGCAAGTTTCCACTCGTGGGGAGGAGGACGTGGGGAGGAGGGCGTTGGGAGGGCGTGGGGAGGAGGGCGTGGGGGGGAGGAGGACGTGGGGAGGAGGACGTGGGGGGGGGGAGGAGGACGTGGGGGGGGGAGGAGGACGTGGGGGGGGGAGGAGGACGTGGGGGGGGGGGGAGGAGGACGTGGGGGGGGAGGAGGACGTGGGGGGGGAGGAGGACGTGGGGGGAGGAGGAGGACGTGGGGAGGAGGACGTGGGGAGGAGGGCGTGGGAAAAAGGGCGTGAGGGGGAGGAGGACGTGAGGAGGAGGAGGGCGCGGGGAGGATGAGGACGTGAGGGGAAGGAGGACGTAAGTGGGAGGAGGACGTAAGGTGGAGGAGGAGGACGTGGGGAGGAAGCAAGAAGCGCCCATAATTGAAGCGAAAATTGAAGTGAGTGACCGGAATGTTTCCAGGGTACTCAGCTGTTGTGTGGCGACGGGGCGCTGGATATTAGAGGAGGGAGTGTTGGAGGGGGGGATGGGGGAGGTGCTGGTGCTTCTGGTGGAGGGTTGGAGGAAGGTGTTGGAGCTCCGGGGAGGTAGGTTGAGGTTAGGAGGGGTGGGGGGTCAGGGTGGGGGTGAAAGAAATGGGTTCTTTGAAGTGAACTTTGACCCCTTTGTTATATTTTGCCAGTCTGTAAGAACTGGCTCGAAGCTCCTTGTTGTGAATGTCCCTCAAAGGCTATTTTCATCCCAGTAAATAACTAGATAAAGAACGATGTTTTTATAGATTTTTATGGATTAGTTTATTCCCACCTAATATGTCTATAATTTTTCGATATAACTGCCCACACATGTACAGCTTTCCTTGTCTTTTCTTCAGAACATATATAAAAAGTATCCCACACTGTCTTGTGAAATCCTTCTTGAAGGTCTTGTGAAATCTTTGTGAAATCCAAGACCCCAGCATCTTGTGAAATGACGCTGAGGTCACAGTCGTTTGAGGCTTTGGTGCATCGCGTGTTGCTTATTGTGTGTCACTTAGTGAAAGTTGGCGACCTCCTAACGATACATGAATAAGCTTCCTCTCAATCTCCACGCTCTTAAGTTCTTCTGGTAACGTTCTCTCCCAATTTGTTCAGTTTATTGTACAATAATGCTTAAGCTCTCCTGTTTTTTTCCAGACGGAAAGTTTCTTACGATATTTTCTTTATTTTTGCTTTATTCGATCCGAACCATTTTTGGGATTCCTTGTATTTCCTGCTTCCATTATATTTCAAAGTGTGTGTCGTTTGCTTTCTTCAGGACAGTTTAGTTGGTGCTGGTCTAAACGTACACATTTTTTTCCCCATCGGTATTTAATGTCTCGTTTGTTAACTATTACTTCGTTAACTCAGACATCTCCTCTCTCTCTCAACTCCCTTCTGACCTGTATGATGTGCTCAGACTCTCACAGTCGTCACACACGGGGTGCTGTTTACCTTCGTGTACATTCGCGTTCAGTTATGGCATTCTCCCAAATGGCCAGAAAGATGGACCCGTAAATCCTAGCCCTCTGGCCTTACACATCAATGGTATGATTTCTGCTTAGTAAGGTGTGTATACACACACACACACACACACACACACACACACACACACACACACACACACAAACTTCTCACTCAAACAGGAGAAGGAGAGAGGAGGGAGGAGAGAGGAGGAAGAAGGAGAGAGGAGGAAGAAGGAGAGAGGAGGCAGGAGGAGAGAGGAGGGAGGAGGAGAGAAGGGGGAGGAGGAGGGCAGGGAAAGGAGGACAGATGAGAGAAGTGCAAGAGGAGGGAAGAGGAAGTGGAGGAGTAGGAGAGAGAACAGAGGAGGGAGGAGGACACAGGAGAGAGGAGGAAGGAGAACAATAAGCAAGTATAAAACACAACTTGGTCTACTTGACAATTTAACAAGAGAGAAAAGATCCCCTGAAGGAAAGTCAGATGATTTACGAAAACTTCAGAGGATTGCTATAAATGGAGGCTGAGAAATGCGCCGAATATGGGCTTTAAACAACAAATTCAGCTAAACAACACGAAACTAGAAACGTGAATCAAAGGTAAACTAAGAACATTAGAGAGAGGAGGAAGAAGAAGATGGCATAATATTACACAAGCAAACTCAAGACATATTAAACAAACTGTTGAAACTGAAAGAAACAACACAGAAATAGTACACAGATGCGGCATGACCTGAGCAGAATCAACAACGCAAACAAGGATCATTGTTTACGAAGACAAGAGGTCTTGGAAGAGCTTGAGTGAAGCCGATTGTAATAGGCACAAACAAGGAGATCCTCGTTCATTATAATTTCTGAACGCCCAGAGAGGGGGGATTTATCAGGGTAAAGCGCCAAGCCATTATGACTATATAGCACAGGGAAGGGGTTAGGATAAGGCTTTGGGATGGGACGGGGGGAAGGAATGTTGCCCAACCACTTGAACGGTCGGTGATTGAACGTCGACCTGCATGAAGCGAGACCGTGGCTCAACCGTCCAGTCCAAGTGGTTGACTCCCAGAGAGCCTGCGGGTGAAGCACGGGAAGCGCAAACGTGGCAAGCGAATGAGGGGTGAACATTGAAGACTTTTGAATGGTGCTGAATGCAGGTGAAGCAACTCCTGTAAGCAGGTAATTAATATAGATCAGAAACAGTAATGGTCCCAGACTCCAGTCGTGCGGGCCTCCGGTATCTCATCTCTGCAGCTATACACGCGCCTTGCAACCCGGCCTTTCAATTAATGGGTCGGGGTTCGAGGGTAGAAATACCCGAAGATACTCTATCCCTTTGAGGTGTATTTTATTGTTTCAATAAATGTACTTGATTTTTTTATTATTTTCTTTTTACGGAGTGGTAAATCACGAGAACAGGCTGGACTGTGACCTTTTGTTTTCTGTTGGTAACGGGAGGTCGGACGTCAGTGACCTTTAACAATTACAAAAAGGCCACACTAGTGGGAAGAACACTACATGAATAAAACTGTACATTCATGGTACTACCACCCACCCTGAGAGTGACTGAACAACCATGCTTTCTGAACAACCATATGATCGTTCGTTGTGGGGGTGTATGATCGTTCGTTGTGGGGGTGTATGATCGTTCGTTGTGGGGGTGTATGATCGTTCGTTGTGGGGGTGTATGATCGTCCAATAGAAAACTTGGCCTATTAGGCAAATCGGGCCTTGCAAAGTAGGCTGAGAAGTGCGTTCTGGCTACTAGGTACGACATATATATATATATATTTGTATATATCGTTGGGACTATGCATACATGGATACCATTTAAAACAACACACACACACACACATCATTGAAGAGACACAAACTCGTAGAGGAAAAGACACAATAAAGCAGATATAATGTCGAAATGTACATCTGAAAAAAAACCCACAAGACAACTGAAGTGAAGAACCGGCAATACTGAACCTGTTGTGCACACCAAAACCAGATATAAACTGATAAAGAATATAAGAAACCAGCGAAAGCCAGCGACATAAAATCCATTAACAGTCTTATTAATATTAAAGTCTAAGACCGTGAGTAAGGGTGGGGGAGGGAATTATCAAGGGAAAGCGCCTAGCCATTACGACTATATTGCACTGGGAAGGGGTCAGGATAAGGATTTGGGAAGGAACGGGGAGGAAAGAATGGTGCGTAACCACTTGGACGGTCGGGAATTGAACGCCGACCTGCATGAAGCGAGACCGTCGCTCTACCGTCCTGCTCAAGTCGTTGGACAGGGGGAGGGTAGGAATGGATGCATAATACAAAATGAAGAGAG